AATTTTTGTCTGTATCTACTTGGTTTTTTATTTAAGGCAGAATCTAGATTTTTAACAGGTTTATAGGGTGTAACCATGCTAGCAAAAACTAAAGAGGGCTGGAGATTTAGCTCAGTGCCACTGGACCTGCCTCACAACCAGAAGGTCCTGAGTTCAATTCCCAGTACTGAAAAAAAAAAATACCAAAGGAACATCTTTAGAGGTCTTATACATTTTGGAAATGGTGTCAGTGACCACAACTAGACTTACTATCTAGTACGTGTGTCTCATCTATGTAATAATAAAGTGTTTGTGTAACTAATGTCAATAGATGTTAACTAAAGCCAAGAGATGTAGGTCAAATTTTAAATGGGAGGACCAAACTGAGAAAGAGATGTCAAATTTTGGTCATTTTATATGTTTAAGAACTAGATGTACATTGTATAAAAGAGAAAAAGTCACTTTGTATGTTTTTTTAGTCACTTTCTATGTATTAAACTTAGGTAGTTTTAACTCTATAAGCCAAACTTTAAAGCTTAGATGTTTATCATATTGTATTATATATATACACCTATAAATGTGTCACAAATTGAGATAATTGTTTTCATAAACTGTTTACTGAAAACATTTTATAAGCCACCATTTGATTTAACCTTTAAAACTCAGTTTTAGTAACCAAAAATTTAACAATGAAAAACTCAAGCTAAGTACATATATAGTAAAACCCTTCTTTTTTTTTTTTTTTTTCCAGTCCTGGGGATCAAACTCAGGACCTTGCACTTGCCAGGCAGGTGCATAAAACCCTTTTTTAAAATCTAGTTTTGTAAGTTTATCCAAGAGCATCTTTTAATAAGCAACCTTATTGTTTTAGACATAGAAAGCTTAACCTTTTCTTTACAACCAACTTAAGGAAATTATACTAATCTATTTAATAACTGTTGGGGTGTGGCACCCTGGGAAAACCGGACAAGTCACCCATCAAAGGAGGAACTGGACAAATTTTTTTTTTTTTTGGTACCGGGGATTGAACTCGGGACCTTCCGATTGCGAGGCAGGCGGTGGCACCATTGAGCTAAATCCCCGGCCTGAACTGGACAAATTTTGATTCAGGTGGCTTCCTTCTCAGCCACAGAGGGGAGTCTTGTCTAGCAGTTTTTCTAAGCCCAGGGTGTCTCCACTTAGACATCTAATTGCTTTAGATGACTCATCACAACAGTTAAAATTTTAAACTATATGTATATTATCTTTTACCAGACAATAACGGGCATTGTATTTTTAAACCAATTTTGGATATCATTTAAATTGTTATCAGCTTTAAAGACATCTTTATTTTTTGTCAACTGATTAAAATTAACTCACTGTTACGCTATGTGAACTGAAAAGCATTTGGACTATATCATCAACCTAAGTAGAACATAGATTTGAAGATTTTTTTCGGTACCAGGGAACTCAGGACCTTGTGCTCTCAAGGAAAGAGTGGCGCCACTGAGCTAAATCTCCAGCCTTGAAGATTTATATATAGAAACATACACACTTTAAATCGTATATAACCTTTATGCTCTCAAACTCTAAGGTTTTCTGTGTAAATCTCACATGAGGTCGAAGTCTCTTAAATCTCATCCTGTACTTTTTAAGTAGACTTAGCTATTTTCAAAAACCTAGATAACAGGTTTTGACATGGGAGTACAAAAGATCCAGATAAAAAAATAAAAGGAAAAATAAAATTCACATGAGCTTAAAAAGCTTAAACAAAGCAGCTTTAGGTATCCTAAACAATTTAAAGAAACAAGCGCAAGCACAAGGACCCGAGTTCGATCCCTGGTACCAAAAAAGAAACAAACAAAAAACACAGACCCATGGGCCGGGGATTTAGCTCAGTGGTTTCGCCGCCTGCTGCACAAACGCAAGGACCCGAGTTTGATCCCCGGTACCAAAAAAAAAAAAAAAAAAAAACAGAGACCCACAATTACCTTCAGAGTGAGGCCCCTCTTAAAAATATTGTCCAAGTTGAGCTATAGCTATAATAATCTGGTAAGTTTGTTGTTTTTTTTTCCCGAACTCGAGACCTTGCACTTGTGAGGCAGGCGCTGGAACCACTCAGCTAAATCCCCAGCCCTCTGGTAGGTTTTTTAAAGTCGACTAGTCAGAACTTTGGGGGGGAACCAGTTAGTGTAGACATCTCTTGCAATAAACCAAGGAGATGAGAGAGGAAAACCTCTTCATACTGTGAACATAAGGACTTTTTTTTTTTTTTTTTTTGGTTCCGGGGATCGAACTCAGATCCTTCCGCTTGCAAGGCAGGCGGCGGAACAACTGAGCTAAATCCCCAGCCCCTAGCCTAAGGACTTTTTAAAGAAAGATTAGACTGATGGTTTGCCTTAATCTGGTTTTTTTGTTGTTTGTTGTTTGTTTTTCAGTTTTAGGGATTGAACTCAGAACCTTGTGCTTCCAAGGCAGGCACTGTGCCACTGAGCTGAATCCCTGGCCTGATTTGTCTTAATCTTGAAATAGCCCTGCAGGCTTCTCAGAGGCCTCTGTGGCTTTAATAGCCACAGTTGATAGCCAGAACTGTTCATACCAGGATTGGGTGAGGAAAGGCATTAGGTGATGATATTTGGAACTAAGTATGTATTTTAAAGAGTTGGGGATATTTTAATGGGCTGGGGATTTAGCTCAGTGGCACCACACCTGCCTCGTAAGTGCAAGGTCCTGAGTTTGATCTCCAGTACCAGAAGAAAAAAAGCGTAGGGGAGTTGAGTCAAAGGTCTATCAAGGCTTCGTTCTGCCCTGGTGTAGACATTAACCAATGACAATAGTTTTCTATTTTGTCTCCTAGGGCTTCTCTTAAGTATGACCCTGTTCAGTGCCAGCAACAGCAGACTGGAGGTACTCTTGAAAGTGGCCAGCGACATCTTTTTCTGTGAACCCTTTGGGTCATACTTAGCTAAAGGCATTTTTTTTAAAAACCCCTCAGTTAGCCTATGTAAGATGGAAATGTAAATCATTCTTTTGATAAGCGTTAAAGTCAAACAGATTTTCCAAGCTGTCTCAGCCTGACCACTTGGGGACAGAGGCAGTGTTGCCATTTGGCTTTTGTTTAGAGAGGGTGGTCTAGCAAGCTAAGGAGTTCTAAAGCTAACTCCCAGTGAGTTGGAATGAATAAAACCTAGGGGGGTTCCATTTAACTTAGGCCTTTGGCCTAGCAAAACTTTTTCAGGAGATCTAGGCAGTTACTGTGTTCACCTGTTCTTGGGCCTATAAATGTATCAAAACATAAAGGGATTTAGCTAGTGGCACCTTGCCTGCCTTGCAAGCACAAGGTCCTGAGTGTGATCCCCTGTACAAAAACAAACAAACAAACAAACCCATATCTGAAGAAAGGGTCTGTCTCACTAGCTGAGACAAAAATGTCTGAACCTGTAGCTCAACTCTTACTGGAGGCTTAAGAGAGGGCTCTGACAGTGTCGTCTCAGGTCACTCTGGGACAGGATACCAGATCACTGAGTTTTACCTCTCAACTCACAGGGGAGTACGGGGGGACAATAGATAAGAGGAGATTTCTCTACTGGTTATCCAGTTGGGCTGTCGGGACCCAGCTTCCATGGAGGAGACTTTGGGTGCCCACCGGGGAGTTGCCCCATCCCCAGCCCCTGAGGTTCCCTCTCAGCTTTCATTGGTTCCAAGCAACCAGCGATCTATCTTCACAAAGGAATCTAGCTGCCAGTCTGGCCAACTTTCCCACTGCCTTCAGTGAGGGATTAACGGGGAGGTGCTGAAGAACCTGTCTTCTCTTTTAACAGTAGCAGCTGCCCTAAAAGGTTTTAACCAACTGGCCTGGTACCCACCGTTTCTTAGAGTTTTATAAGGGACAGATAAAGATTGTGTGCATGTATGTTTGGCCATTCCACCACACTTACCTCTCCATAGGTAAAATAATGACCCACCTTGGGCTCCAAAGATGTAACCAAATCCCTCTAACTCTCAGGTTCTTGTTTTGGAGCAACGAAGGTTGAAGCCCCAAAACAGCAACCAGCAAGCAGTAGGGACTGGCCAAATGGATGTTTATTAAAAAGAATAAAAGAAAAATTCTCTTCTGGATGGAAAGGGGTGTTCTGTAATGCAGACAACATAGATGATTAGCTTGACTGGCGTCTTATACAATTTTTGGTGCCGGGATATGTGACAGAAAGCTGAAATGCTCTTGGTTGCTGGTAGGCTTTTGACATCTGGAAACCAAGCTGTTTAATTTGCATTTTATTTTTTCTAAGATCTCTCTTATGGTTAAGGACCTATTCTTTGTCACTTACATTTTATTAGGACTTGATAGTTTATTTTGATACATTAACTCACTTAGATCCCGACATTTAATATACATTAAGCTACCTATTTAAGAGCCGTGTCCTATCTGCCAAACTTTTCGTATCTCATGGATTCAGTGGGACTCTACTTCAAAAACAAACCAAAAAAAAAAAAAGACCTGGGTATTTGGAATAAGTTTCAGTTTGTCCAAAACTGCTAGGTGAGAAGCTGGGTGGGGAGGCACATGCATGAAATTGCAGTAGCACTCAGGAAGCTGAGGCAGGAGGAGCTCTGAGAGTGCAGACCAGGGTGGGTGACATAGTGAGTTCAAGGCCAACCTGAACTACACATCGAGATCTTGTCTCAAAAACAAAAAAACCTTTAAATTTTTTATCTTTTGTTTTGTTTGTGAGTGCAGTGCTAGGGATGGAGCCCAGGGTTTCCTCCTGGCTAGGCAAATCCTCTTGCCCTGAGCTGCATCCCCAGCCCAGGCAACTGCATTGACTGGGGACTGCTTTGCAGGTTAACTTTCTGGTTCTTGTCTTTGTGCTAGGTACAGGGGATTGAACCCAGGGCCTTTGTGCCAAGCTCCATTCTTAGCCCCTTTTTATCTTTTATGTTGAGACACAGTCTTGCTAGGTGTCAGGGTTGGTGGGCTGAAGGGAGGCCCGGTCAGGTGAGGTTCCTAAAGAAAATAACATGCATGGCGCAGACATTACAAACAAGTATGAAGCCAGCTTTATTTTCCAACATAGCACTTACAGTAGTTTATCAACTTGCTAATACATAGTAAGACAAAACATTCTGGGTGACCTTGCCACCCATGTGATCCATGGGTGGTTGTCTATCCAGATTCATTATTATACAACAAAGCCCCATTGTGTGCCTGTGCTAAATGACAGAATCATGTCCTCAGGTGCTCTCAGACACCCAGGGGGCTGCCACTTCTTGCAAATAGCACATAAGGCTGCCTCTAGTGTCCAGAGCCCACAAAAGCAATACAAGGAACAACACATAAGCACCAACCCCATTGCTATTGCAGCACCACTGAGAGCCACCCAGTGCCAGGTGGATCCTAGGGATTCCCACCATTAGGTCAGGGGGTCTTTTTGCAAGGCCTGGATGGCAGACACTCCCATCTCCATTTCTTGTAAGTCCTCTTTTACTTGCTCCTAGTGGTCAGGAATAAAAACACAGCATTCTCCATGTAAGAGGACACAAGTGCCTCCCTGTGCTGCAGTCAGCAAATCCAGAGCCATACAGTTCTGTAACACCACTGTTCTCATCTGGGAGGTTTCATCCATGAGCAACATCAGAGACTGGCACATGATATCTAGGGCCTGAGCCATGTGTTGAGCTAGAGCTTTAACTTGAAGGGCTAGGTCTAGAATAGGATAGGATTAAACCATAGGATAAAACCACTAGGCCACCCATTTGATGCGGTCCCATCTGTGATACAGCATTCCAATTGTGGGGTGTGTCTGCCAGAGTGGGCCTGACAGTGCCCTTAATATAGGGAAACCTCCAGGTGTAGCACCCCATCCACTGTGCAGGGAGGCCAACCCGTAGTCCCACAGACCCATAGGCATCTTCCATGGTCCAATCAGTGGGTACTGTACCTATGAGCTTATGACCATCCCACCACGCATTTGTGTCATTCACCTGTAATGTGTTGGTACACAAGTGCAGGGGTAGCCATCCTGCTGTGGAATTTCCCACTGACACAATGACCTGTTCAATACATAGTGGGGCAATATCTAACAATATTACTTGATTCCCCATCAGCCACCCCTAACTTTTATGCATCATAGGTCCCAGTCCATGTTGGGTGGTTGTGCTCTTCCAGATCAGCACCTCAATAGCCTGGCATCACTGATCCCAGGCAGGTCCAGTCCCATTCTGTTGCCAGTCCGTCCAATTGTGCAGAGATGCTGGTGGAATTCTCCATGGAAGGCCTTCAGCCATGTCTGTCAGGAGTTCAGTGCATATCAAACAGTGTGATGGCTGGTGCACACAAGCAAACTTGTGTACCCAGGAGATGATGCTATTAGATTGACTCATCCTGGTCAAAAGGGCAGGGCAGAAAGAGAAACCATCATAGGGAGGTCTTGGCCTTTGGGGAGGATGCAGGCCGCATGTTCATCCTGCAATAGGATGGTGGCCAAGACCATTTTATCTCCTGGTTTAGAATACTAGACCAGTGTCCCCACTGCCACCAGAGGCAACTGGAGCCAGGTCTATCACCCATAGGGGAATAGGCCAAACAGCTTCAATGTCACTTCTCTTTAGAATGGTGGCCCTGGCATTGGGTGGAGAGGATACCAAGGCATTCAGGGGCCATGTTAAAATCCAGGGCTGCACCTCTATGGCATAGCACAGTCTCTCCCCTCAGGGCTCCAAGAGCAACACCCAATTCCTCAGCAGAGGGTCTGTGGGCCACTCCCAAGTCCATTGGTACCAGGTCCCCTGGCCTCATAGGCTCTAGTGCAGGGAGGATCAAAGCTCTGTAAACACCTTAGGACCTTGCTCTGCCAGTTGAATACACAGATGAGTGGGCTGTGCTTTCAGAAGGCAATCCAATGCGCTGTCACCCATAAGCCCGGGTGGTCATTGAGCATCTGAACAGCCTGTGGTAAGGCCTGCATCCACCCGATAAACTTTGGAGCCAAGGGCCAGGGATTTAGCTCAGTGGTGCCACCGCCTTCCTCGAAAGCGCAAGTTCCCCAGTTCGATGCTGATGTCCAGTACCAAACCAAACCAAACCAAACCAAAAAACTTTGGAACCCTAAATAGGCTAGCTTAGTTTTCAAGAGTCCATTATATCTCTCAATCATACTAGCAACTTGTGGCCGGTAGGGCACATGAAAGTGCCAGGTGATGTCATTGTCTCTGGCCCACTGTTGTACCCGAGCTCCTGTAAAGGGGCTTCCCTGGTCAGGTGCTATTCCTAGCAGCATCCCATACACTGCAGTCAACCGCTGTAATGCCTTAATGGGATGGGCCTGGTCGGCAGAGGGCAAGGGGTTGGCAAAGCCTATATCCATGCCAGTATCCACAGCAGTTAGAGCATATTTATGTCCCTGTGAGAGAGACGGGGCCTGATATAGTCTACTTCCCATTGCTGCAGGGGTGGGGTGCCTGAGATATTGCACCCAACTGCATGGGCACCCTCCTCCTCCCAGGGCCCAGCTGAGTGCATTGAGGGCGTGCCTTCACCCCTGCTCTTGCCTCTGTGGGAGTCATGTCCAAATGCCATCACTGCGCTACAGCTTGCATGGTATGGGGTCCTACACGACCCAGTTTCTTATGGAGCCAAGGCACCACTGCTGTGGGTGGCCCTCAAAGGGCTGTTACCCTTGTCAAGGAGTCTGCTGTCATTCCCTGGTGCGAGGAGAGGCCTGTGTCCTGACTCATGGTACACCACATGTGTTATAGTCTGGCCACGCTCCCATGAGTATCGCCATAACTCAGGGCCCCATAGGGGTCGATGTCCTATCTACCAGTCTTGGGCCACCCAGGTCAGAAACCAGAGCGTCAGCCCTTAGAATACGGCCCAACTGTGTGTGCAAACATACAGAGATTCATCCTCATGAATGACAAGTAACCACACTGCCCACAACATTGTCTTGACTTGCCTTCCCCAGCCTCAAACTAGAGTGTCTCAGCACTGGGCTGGACAGCGACTACCGTCCATTTCAAGGTTTTGCCACAACTAGAGCCATCAGTATACCAGGCCTCAGCCAGGGGTCTCTCCTTCCCTTCCACATAGGCACAAGGAGTCAAGACCAGTAACTCATCTTGTACAGTTTATTGGGCCATGTATGTCACGGGTCTCAGCACTGCTGCCAGGTCGGCTGTTAGAGGGCTGGCCGAAAAAGAGACTCTCTGCTGTAGGTATGTTCCCCATTGCGTCAGGGTGGGGGCCTGGGCCACTCTACTCCTGGGAAGAGACATCCATGTGTGTACCCAGCCCTCTATTGGGTACTTAGTTTGTGCTTCCACAGCCTGCTGCCCTGTGATTCCTTCACAGGTGTGCAGAGCAGCATACTGCACCACCAACTGCTTCTCAATCAGGGAATGCCTGCTTTCAAGTCCTTTCCACAACTGTGACCAAAAGCCAACAGGGTACTTCCGCTTCCCCTACTTTTGTCACAAACTCCAGCCAAACACAGCATCATCTATATTCACAGTTAGGGTGAAAAGCAGGGTAGGGTCAACAACTCAAAAGGCCTGTACTGCAGCACCTGCCCTCTTTGAGGCCTAGAATACAGCTTACACTGCATCAGTTCAGTCCCAAGTTGCATCCTTTCGGGTCATCTGGTGTAGAATCACAACAAGTGGCTAGGTGCAGAATGAATGTCCTCCAGAAACCTAGCAAGCCCACATACACTTATAACTGGTGTACAAGGTCGGTCTGGGGTTTGCCTGGGCTCTTATCAATTATTGCATCGGGGATTACTTTTGTCTTACCTGACCAGATAACACCCAAGAACTTGACAGATAAGCCAGGGCCCTGGACCTTGTCTTCATTGATGGCCTACCCCTAGGCCAGCAAAGCTTCTTTTAGACGGTGTACAGCAGCTTCCAAATCTGTAAGGCAATCAGAGGTTAACATGACACCATCAATACAATGGAACAAAGACACAGAGTGTGGCTTGATCCATGTTGCCAGATCCTGGGCCACCAGGACATAGCACAAAGTACGGCTGTGCAAATACCCTTGTGGTAACACTTGAAAAGTCCCTTGTCTGCCCTCCCAGGTGAGGGAAAACTGGTCCTGACTCTCAGGCATGATAGCCATGGAGAAGAATGTGTTGGCCAGGTCCACTACGTAGTGGTATCAGCTCAACATCAGGTTGAGCTGGTCCCCCAAATCAGAAATATTGGCTACTACTGTGTGGGACGGAGGAGTCGCTTTGTTCAGTTCCTGGTACTCCACAGTTATTCTCCAAGTCCCATCGGGCTTCCACACAGGCCAAACAGGGGAACTGAAAGGACTTTGTGCATGGCATATCACCCCTGCCTCTTCCAACCTCAAAACAGTTTGTCCTATTTTCTCTTGACCGGCCCAGGGATTTAGCTCAGTGGTTCCACTGCCTGCCCCACAAGTGGAAGGAGCTGAGTTCAATCCCTGGTACCAAAAGAAAAAAATACATTATCTATTTCCTCAAGACCCCCAGGCAGCCGGTACTGCTTCACACACACAACCTGAGTTGCCTATGGGAGAGTCAGCAGTGCGTGATGGGGCTGTCTTCAGACATTAGTTTTTATCACGTGAATCCACAAATGGAATTCTCCATGTGTGGTGTCTAACCTGGCACCAGTCAGTATGTCCACCCCCAGTATGTGTTCAGTAACTGGGGAAACATAAACATCATGGGGATTCGGGGCCAAACACGCGATTCCAGAAGTCACCTTGGCCTTCCGGACCAAAATGTAGTGAACTCCATACCCTTCTATGTGTGTAGTGGGTCCTGTGAAGTGGTCTGGGTTGCCATGGATCAGCGTCGACTTGGCTCTGGTATCCACCAAAGCCAGTACACACTGTACATTTTTCAGGGACCGATAGTTTATTCCACATGTGGCCTCTGGTCTCCTGGGGTCCCTAGCAACCAGGTACCTCGGCCTGTCTCCTAATCTGGGTAAAAGGTTGCCAGCATCAGCTCATTCTGCTTCCCAGGGGCTGCCTTTACCTTTGGGCCCATGGGCCAGCACTGCTGGTCAGGGCGCCACTGCTTCCACAAAGACAGCAACACATCTATGGCCTGCCCCTCCAGCTTCTCTGCAGCTCAGCCAGCTGCTATCAGATCTGCCCAGATTTGGTGTTGGTTTACCTTCAGGGGACCAAGCGTCTGCCCCTGCGGGATTGGTCTTGCTCACCCTGAGGTTGCTTGTTTTTTCTCCTTTGGCAGCCAGGTTTTTACTGCTCTCACCTTTCCTTGCCATTTCACCTGTACATTGCCCAGTCACATGGACGAACTACTAAAGGTGCTAGTAGGGCTGTCACTGCGCCAAATGTGCCGGCTGGGCTGCTGCCCAGGACCAGAACTTTCATGCGTGCTGTGAGCAATTCTTCATCAGGGGTACTATATAGCAAGCAGCAAATATCATCTGCCTCATGTCCATTTCAAGCAGCACACCTACCAAGTCCAGATAGGTTGTCCATTTTGTGACTTGCTCCTGGGTTTGGCCAAAGTATGTGGGCCGCTACCATCAGCCAATTTATCCTAGTACGGTTACCCACTCACTGGGCCAGCCTCTGTGCATCCTGCAAAATCCAGCACATGGAGGGGGTACCGGCTATGCTGGCTAGTTGGGCCATTTCCCGTGGGTTCACCTCTGTGTTGTCAGCTCCTTCATCCCAGAGCCACAGCAGCCATGTAGGCACTGTCTCATACACCCTTTACTTCGTCTGAGTGACTCCCCTCGTCTGCAATGGTCCTCAGACTTGTGGAGATCACCAGGCCTTAGGTCTGGTGAAGCAATGCAAGCAGCATGATGTTTTGCCAGTTCCTGAAGCTCCATAGCTGTGTAGGTCATATACATTGTGTGGCAGGTAAACCTAGGTGGACCCCCTGACTCCCCCTCTTGGGTCAAGAGCTCTTCTACTTCCACTTTCTGAGACAGCAGTTCATGCCTAGAACGCCAGGGTGCTCTCCAGGTATGTAGAACCTATGCTCAGAGAGGAGGTAGCGCTCCCTACTTCTTTCAACATGGCTTCCCCAGCTGCCACGCATTGCTCTAAGCTCTCTTTGGTTCGCTGCAATTGGTTCACCTGCTGGATAAGGTCTTCTGCCTCCTGTCTCATATGATGGAAAAGACTAATAAACAATCAAGCCATCCTCCCCGCTGATTCAAGGTCGGGGAGAGGAATTTGTGTCTCTAGCATTGCCAAGGTCTGTAAACATCTCCGGCTGTCAGGCAGACCGCCTCCCAGTTCTCAGGAGATTTCCAAGTGGTCAAAAAGTTGCTACTGGCAGCCAGATCGAGGCTGAGAAATGCACTGCTCCCTGTGGTTCCTCCTCGCTGTTCCAGAATTGCCAGAATGAAGGAGGTGGACAGTGAACGAGCCAGTGAAGGCACTGTTACTGGGATGTAGCAACGAGCACCACTGCAGCAGGAACAGCTCAGCCCAGAAGCAGCCCCCATCCCCTGCCCTGGTCGACTGGCCTTGGGTGGCAGCGGCCGGTCCCTGCAAGCCTGCGCACCGGGGCGGGGCGGGGGAGCCCTCCCTGGGCCACCACAGGAGCCAAGCCCTGGGAGGTGTCTAGTTCGAACCACAATGAAGAGCAAGTCCTCAGGGAAAAGAAGCAGATCTCCCTGGAGTGATAGAAGCTGAAGTCCTCCCCACTGGACAGCCAGAGTGAAAGAGGAACAAGAGGATCATCCCGGAGAGGACCTGAGAATGGGCGACACTGTCAACCTTCTGATCAGGAACCCCGGAGGCCCGGGCACGGTGACCAAGACAGGAGACTGATACTGGGCTGTTCCTGACAAAGGACAAGCTCTGGTGATAGGCCCGGGGCATGGGGCGCCTTGAGGACGGGAAGCAGGGCCAGAACCTGGAGGCTCAGGAGAAAGAGCGAGAGTTGTGTAACCAGGCGCCGGGAGCAGGCCCGGGAGAGTGGAGTCAGTGGAAACTGTAGTGCCACTCAGCAGTTGCTGCCTTGACCTGGACCCGGTGGAGACAAGAAACACAGAGAGGTGTCTGTCCAGGAAAAATCAGACATGAACCCCTTCCAAGTGCAGCCATTCGATACAGCGAGCCCCCAGAAGCACGCATGCCCCACGTCCCTCGTCTCTACCCCTCTGACGAGGCACTCTCTGTCATGAACATCTGTCACCAAAGGGTTACCTTTTGGATCGCCACCACACATCGCAGACATTCTCCAGCATGCAGTCTTTCAGTATCAGCTTATGTAAGCCAGTGGTACTGTTGGCCCCACGGTGAAGGCCCGCAGCATTGACTTGGACTCAGGCAACGAAACTTTCTTGAACAAGAGCCATGCAGCTACAATGAACTCAAAGAAAAGGATGTACTTCAATTCGGGTTCAACAGTACGGAGTATGTCCTACTGCACGACTCGCTGGATACCTCTGAACTAGACAGGAGGAGAGATGAGGATGACGGGGGGAGGAAGTGGTTTCCGAGGCCACCAAACTCAGGACCCCACCTACTGAGGCACCTTTGGCTTCTGGGATACTCCGGGATTCATTCAAAGAGCAGTGTGTTGCTCTGTGTAATACCTCTTATTGCCTCAAGTCTTTCTTCTGTTGCCAAATAGCTTTTGTTACTGTTGAAGAACACGGACTTAGGTTTTGAATTTTTTTGTTTTGTTTTCTTGAGATGGGGTCTTTTATATAGTGCTGGCTAGATTTGAACTCACTGTGTATCCCTGGCTGGACTCAAACTCCAGGCAATCCTCCTGCCTCACCCTCCTAAGTGCTGGGATGACAGGCTGGACTCACCCCGCTCAGCTCTCATAAAATGTTTTGTGATAAAAATGAAGTACCACATGATAGGCAAAGTTTTATGCATTTGAAGAGCAGGTTTTCATTTACATGCATTTTGGGAATAAAAATAAAAGCTCTAAATATAGACCCCCCACCACAAAACAAAAACAAAAACTTTATTAACACAAATCAGAAGTCCAGCTACATTTAGCCCCCTGGGCCTTATAGGCTGAGTCTACACAGACCACAACCTCTAAAGACACACAGTTATCAGCTGAAGTACTAAGCAGGGGGTGGGAAGCGCCTGACAGAAACCTAAGACATGACACTGGTTTTCTACCCTCACAGAGCATAATTACCATTTCACACAGGGGAAGTGTTGGCTGTGTGGGGGGCATGTGGGATATAGGTCTATACTCCCAGCCCTTGGGAGACTGAGGCAGGAGAATCTCTGTCAGTTCGAGGCCAGCATGGGTGACATACTGAGTTCAAGGCCAACCTGAACTACATAAGGAGACCCTGTCCCCCAAAACGAAACAAAGTATGAGGAACTATTTTAGTCTTCATTCTGCCCCCACCTCTTGAAGTTGAAATCCTGTTCACAAAACTTTCTGAAAAGAGACTTACCAGGCCTGAACCCCCTGCTTCCCGGACACATTACAGCCTCTCACCAAGGACGGTCACACCCCAGACACCAGATGTCAACCAGACGAAGGTCCACGCAGCCCTAACTCAGCATGAGGTCTAGTAGGGGAGTGGGCATGTGTCCTGAGTCCTGATCAGTCAGAAGGTCTATAACACTAGGAAGGCTGAGGCAGGAGGGATCAAGCCCAGCTGGGCTAACTTAGTGTCTTAGCAAGCGCAAGGACCTGAGTTCGATCCCCGGTACCAAAACAAACAAACAAACTTAGTGCCTTAGCAAGATCCTGTCTCAAAATAAAAAATTTAAAAAGGGCTGGGGATGTAGCTTTGTTCAAAGGCCCTGAGTTCAATTCCCAGAACTGAAAAAAAAAAAAAGAAAGGCAAAAGCTGAGTCATCCTAGATGTCCCAGGAATTGTCATAGCCCCACAGAGGCCCCAGGCTTTCTGTCCCCAACACCACAGCACTCAAAGAATCAACAGGGACACTTTATCACTCTGATCCAGGAAACTCCATGCAGCTCCAGGACTGGCCCAGGCAGGCAGTGGAATCCAGGGAACTCAAGCCCTCTGGAGAGTGCAGGGTGCCCATCCCTGCCCAATGTCCTTCAGCAGCCCATGACCAGCCAGTGGCCCTCCCGGGCCACCCCCACCCCGGGTCACACCTCCCCCACCTTCCCCTGGACACCCCTCCCCACTCCCCATCAGAGCCCAAACCTGACCTCACCACCACCCCAGCTCAGAGGCCGCCCCCAGGTGGCTTCTCAGGGCTCTCAGGACAAACCCCAGCCCACAGCAGCCCCAGGGCTGGGCCTCTGTCTATAACACACAGGGAATGCCTCCAATTAATAGGAGACACACCATGCCTTTTCAATGAGGTGCACAGAAGCTTTGAACAGACTCTTCACAAAAGGGGCTATCCACCAGGACAGGACTCGTCTGGAAGCTGGTCGAGTTCATTGTTCACCAGGGAAATGCAAAGTAAAACCTCAATATAACATAACGTGTACACACACACACTCACACACACACACACACACACACACCCAGATGACTCAAATGCAAAAAGAAAAATGTAAGTGTTTTGCAACACCAGGACTCTTTCCCAGCACTTTGGGAGGCTGAGGCAGGAAGATGGCAGGTTCGAGTCTTACCTGGGCAATGTAGCAACTTGGTGAGACCCTGTCTCCCAAAATACAAAAAGTAAAAGGGCTGAGATATAGCTTAGTTGATCTTCCTGGGAAGTGGGGCAGGTCAAAGCATTATAGGCACTTCTTTGCTTTTTGTTTTTTGTGCTACTGCAGGTTGAACCCAGAGCCTTCGCCTTGAACTACAGTATCAGCCTTTTCTTATCTTTTAATTTTGAGACAGGGTCTTGCTAAATCATTAAGTTGCCCAGGCTGGGCTTGAACTTGTAATTCTCCTGCCTCAGCCTCCCAGAGTGCTGGAATTACAGGGTGCACCACCACACCCAGCTTAGATAGCAAACATTTTAGGATTTGTGAGCCCTACATGACAATTACCAACTCTGCCTTAGCAGCCAGGAAGCAGCCACAGAAATGAGTGTACATTACCGTGTACCAATAAAACTTGATTTAAAAACACTGAAAAATCAAATTCCTTACATTCGCATGTGTTGCAGAAGATTGTACCTCTTTTGATTTTTTTCCCCCAACTTGTTAAAATGGGAAAAATCACCAGGTGCAGTGGCTCACACCTGTAATCCCAGCACTCTGGGAGGCTGAGGCAGGAGGATGACAAGGTGGAGTACAAGCTAGGGGGCTTAGTGACTTAGTGACCCCTGCCTTAAAATACAGTAGGGCTAGGGCCGGGGATTTAGCTCAGTGGTTCTGGCACCTGCCTCGCAAGTGCAAGGTCCCAAGTTTGATCCCTGGTACCGGAAAAAAAAAAAAAACAGTAGGGCTGGGGATGTAGCTCAGGCTCCTGGTTCAATCCTCAGTACCAGAAAAAATTGTGTATCAGAAGCAGTTTGTGGAAGAAGCCAGATATAAGAGGACACGGCCCTTACCCCTCTGTGCATGTCACCAGGAGTTCTTCACCCACCAGGTCCCATGGCCGTTACCCATGACGGTCCTAGAGAAAAGGGCAGAGCTCCAAGAATCACCCACCTTCTACAGAATGAAGTGAAAACACACAGCGTCCGTCTGTCCGTCCATCCTCTTCGGTTCTGCAAAGATAGAAAGTCTCCCCCACTCGCCACAGGGGTACAAATAATGCCGGCCATTAAGCCACAGGAGTTTCACGTGCAGAGCCTCCCGCCCCCCAATTGACCACCAGTTAACCACAACTGATTCTCCAAAGGCCATCACCAAGTCATCAAAGGCTGAAGGCAGGCTCAGTGGTGCACTCCTGTGATGCCAGCTCTTGGGAGGCTGGGCAGGAGGATCTAAATTTGAACCCAGCCTGTAGCTTAGTGCAACTCTGTTTCAAAAAAAAAAAGTTACTGAGCTGGGGATTTAGCTCAGCGGTTCCTGGCACCTGCCTCACAAGTGCAAGGACCTGAGTTCGATCCCCGGTACCAAAAAAAAAAAAAAAAAAAAAAAAAAATTACTGGGTTTTTGTGATAAGTTTGTGTTTGGTTTTGTACAAATCTGCCAAGCCAGAAGCCAGGCCTTATGGCACCCGCCTATAATCCCAGCACTCAGGAGGCTGAGACCAGAAGAACTCCAAGAGTTCCTGACCAGTCTGGGATGCAGAGTGAGTTCAAGTCCAGCCTGAACTACACAGTGAGTCCTGTCTCAAAAAATGAGTACATAAATAATTTTAAAAACAGCCAACCCTTGGGCCGGGGATTTAGCTCAGTGGTTCCACCGCCTTCCTCGAAAGCTAAGGACCCGAGTTCAATACCTGGTACCAAAAAAATAAACACCAGCCAACCCAGTTACCTAAGTGGCTGTACCATTTTGTTTTTTGTTTTTTGTTTTTGGTACAGGGATCAAACTGGGGAACTTGGGCTTGTGAGGCAGGCGGCCGGCGGAACCACTGAGCTAAATCCCCAGCCCGGCTGTACCATTTTGCACCGAGGTTAGGATTATTAATGTACCCATTCTATAGGCAAGGAAACCACTTGAGGGTTTTCAGGGGTTGAGCCCCAAGTCTTCTTGGATTGTCAAGGTTTGGATTTGAGATTCAAATCTGGTTTTAATAAGTTCATGATAGACACTCAACACTTACACCACAATGATTGCTGTAAATGAATCCCATCTAACCAATGCCATTTCCTGATTTGACAGATGAATCTATTTCTAGCAAGACATTCAGGAAAAGGTGGTGCATGTTGACTGTCTGAACTTTGGGAAAGTATGGGAACTTTGTAGATAATGGGGGGGTTAATATGAGGATAGGGAGATGGAGTAGAAAGCCTGTGCATACTTGGGAGGCTGAGGCAGGAAGATCACCACTTTGATTTTTGGGGGGTTTTTGGTACCAGGGATCGAACTTGGGTCCTTGCACTTGCACAGCAGGCGGCAAAACCACTGAGCTAAATCTCCAGCCCAAGATCACCACTTCGAAGGCTGCCTGGACAATTTAGTGAGACTGTACCTCAAAATAAAATTTAAAAGAGGGCCAGGGGTGAAGCTCAGTGGTAGAATGCTTGAGTGGAAGGTGCAAGGCTCTGGGCTCAATCCCCAATATAAGAAAGAAAGAAGTCAAAAGAAAGAGAGAGAGAGAGAGAAGGCCAGGCATGGTGGCACACACCTGTCATCTCAGCACTTGGGAGGCCAAGCCAGGAGGATCATTGCGAGTTTGAGGCCAGCCTGAGCTACACAGCCAGACCCTGTCTCAAAAAAAAAAAAAGTGTGAGAGAGATAAATAGATACATGAAGGACTTTTAACTCCCATACTTTTTGATACATGTGGTGATGGTATTGCGATTACGTTTCTTTCTTAAGTGTCACCATCTTTCAGTGATAAAATGTGACATATTTATAAATAAAATGATTTGACCTCTCAGATTTACTTGACAATAGGCAGAGAGTAATCATAGGTTCAGGCAAAAGTGGATGAGAAAGAGTGAAAGTCTGGTGAACAGTAGGATATTTAAACAGTCTCAAAGAACCTACCCACAAGATACTTAATAATTTCTAAAGAGGAAGTGCTAAGTTTCAAGTGGAGAGATGTGGCAGATACTGCCTCAGCCAAGCCATTTAATTTTCTTTCTTTTTTTTTTTTTTTTGTGCTGGGACTGCAAGTGATCAAATTTAACACCAGAAATTATGGGACTAATTCTTGGCAGGTACTCCTGATAGGAATAGTGAGAAGGACAAAGATATGACCTTGCAGGTGGTGCACACCTATAACCCCAGCACTTGGGAGGCTGAGGCAGGAGGATTGTAGTGAGTGCAAGGGCTACATAGTTCAAGACCAGCCAGAACTACATAGTGAGACCTGTCTGGAAAAAAAAGGAGGAAAAGAAGAAAGAGGAGGAGAATACAACCTCACTTCTGAGGCTGTTTGTTTGTTTGTTTGTTTTGTACTGGGGATGGAACTCTGGTCCTTGCGCTTGTGCAGCAGGTGACGAAACCACTGAGCTAAATCCCGGCCCCTGATTGTTTGTTTTTTGAGACAGTTTCACTATGTAGTTCAGGTTGGCCTCGAACTCACTATATAGCAGGCTGGCCTCTAACTCGTGGAAGTTCTGCCTCAGCTTCTCAAATGCTGGGATTACAGGCATGCACCACCACGCCCAATTCTCAGGGCTTCTTACTAAAAACACATAGTATATTGTGCCATAAGGAAGGATAAACTTGGTGCATTTGTAGGAAAATGGATGCAACTTGAGACCATAATGTTAAGTGAAAAAAACAAGACACACAGGCTTAAATATCACATAGTTTTTCTTACATGAGAAACCCAAAATATAAATGAAGAAGGAAAAAAAAAAGATAATAGGAAGCAAGGAGAGAGATCTTTCTCAAAGGGAAATCAAGAGATAGAGGAAGGAGGAGGAAAGGGAAAGGAAGGAGATGAAAAATAATTAATATGTGTTATGTACATATACATATACCAGCTCCCAACAATGAGTGCTGTCATTATGCAATGAAAACATGTACTAATAAAAATGAAAAAATTTTAAAATGGTTAGTATGAATCTAGTGGTGAGGAAACACCAGACAATCTCAAATTGAAGGATATTCTACCAAATAGCTAATCTCTTTTTTTTTTTTTTTTTGGTACCAGGGATCGAACTCAGGACCTTGTGCTTGCCAGGCAGGTAGCGGCACCACTGAGCTAAATCCCTGGCCCAGTTAATCTCTATTTTTTAAAAATGTCAAGGTCATGAAAGACAAAGGAGCAGGAACAGTTGCAATAGAAAGAGAAAATTCAATGCAGCACATGATCTGGGATTTTTTTTTCCTCCATAAAAGTCAGTAATGAGACAATTGATAAAATGCAATTAGTTTTTTTTTTTTCCCCAGTACTGGGGATTGAAGTCAGGACCTTATGCTTGCCAGACAGGCACAGCATCGCTGAGCTACATACCTGGTCCAAATGTGATTAGTTTTTGTAAGCCTTCTGGCTTTTGATTTTACTGAGGTTATATACAAGAATGCCTAGTTTTCAGGAAATTCAATGAAGTGTTTAGATAAATGGGTGGATGTATGAATGAGTTGATAGATAAATGGGTGGCTGAATGGGCCAAGAGATGAATGAATGGATAGATACATGGATGCATTATGAATGGACAGATGGTGGGTGGATGGATATATGGATACATGGATAAATGAATGAATGGGTGAATGGATGGATGATGGATGGATGGATGGATGGATGAATGGGTGGGTGGATGGATAGTTAGGAGCCTGAACTGCTAATGAGTGGGTATCCATTATTCTTGCCAGGACTAATTTCCTCTAAAGCTACTTTTGGTGAGAGGGAAGTCATTGTATCTCCCATTTAAGCCATGAAGATTTTTATATTATTGTTTCCAGCTGAGTCTAATTTTTTATTTTGGTACTGGGGATCGAACTTGAGTTCTTTTGCTTGTGCAGCAGGCAGTGAAACCACTGAGCTAAATCCCCAGCCCCAGCTAAGTCTAATCTTAATATGATTATTAAAAAAAAAAAAGCCTTATATGTCATGGCGCACACCTATGATCCCAGCACTGTGGGAGGCTGAGGCAACAAGGTCACATGTTTGAGCCCATCCTGGGCAACTTAGTGACTTAGCAAGACCCTGTCTCAAAATAAAAAACAAAAAGGGCTAGAGATATAGCTCAGTGTGAAGGCCCTGGGTTCAATCGCCAGTACACAAAAAAATAATTTTTAAACTTCAATCTCTGGGTCATGCTAAGCACCATTTCAAGTGATCATGGAATCTAGAATGTTTCTCAAAAAATTTTTTTCTTTCTTTCTTCTTTGTAATGTGGTACTAGGGAGTGAACCTAGTGCCTTCCCACTGAGCTACATTCCTAACCCTTTTATAATTTCTATTTGAAATAGGGTCTTGCTAAGTTGCCCAGGCTAGGCTTGAACTTGTGATCCTCCTGCCTCAGCCTCTCAGAGTACTGGGATGACAGCCGTGTGCTATGATGTCCCAGCAGAAGTCTGCATTTACAGGTTTTCCCCATGACTCTGATGCTCCCTACTAGCCAACAGCCTCCCTAGTGAAAAAGTGGGTGGAAATCATCCTGTTTCCTGTAACTTGGTCCCTTCCCTTCTGTCTTCCAAGATTTGGGAGCTGCCAACAAATTAGATCTCGTAGCAGGATGCAGGAGGATCAGATTACAGTCCTCAAGGACTGGGAGTGTCCAAAGCCTAGCAACCTCCACTCACAGTGTTTCTTGACCTTGGTTGTGTTATTTGACCTCCCTATGTTTCTGTTTCCTTACCTGTCAGAGCTGACAAGAGTAACTTGCCCTATAGGGTTATTTTGAGGATTCCATGAGTTGAAAACTCCACAGGGCTCTAATTTGAAATCTCCCTGCCTCCTCATCCCAGAGTGCTGGGATTATAGGTGTCACCACCACACCTGGCTCTGTGTTGACAGTTTTTGCTATTGGAATTCGCCATATCTCTAAAGGGCTATCAAATGAATGTGGGCCACTTGTTTCAGAGATTTTTCTCTGCCTCACTATCTACAGTATCACCCGCACCCTCAAACTGTTGCTTTTCCTATTTTGTTTTCTCCTTTGCTTTGCTTGCTTCTCTCATTCCATTTTTCTTTTTCAGTACTGGGGATTGAACCCAGGACCTCACACATGCTAGGCAAGAGCTCTACTACTAACTGGATGTAGTGGCACAGGCCTGTAATCCCAGCGCTCTGGGAGGCTGAGGCAGAAAAACTGTAAGTTCAAGGCCAACCTGGGCAATTTTTTCTTTTTTCAGTACTAGAGATGTAACTCAGGACCTTGCACTGGCCAGGCAGGCACAGTGCCGCTGATCTACATCCCAGGCCCCTCAACCTGGGCA